TAGACAAATACCAAAACGAGTCGGCCATGGAAATACGTGGAAGGTTTTCCAAGATGAATGGCCATCCCACATCATCTTTTGGGCCAGCTGGCAGGCCAAAGTCAGTTTGTAGTCAATATTTCATGAGTTTGAATTAATTTGGAGACGTATTCGCAGCTGCTCGATTTTATTCGAGCACGTTTCGGGCCTGTCCATTGTTAGTCAGTGGAGTTTTTCAGTTTGACATATTTTGAGAGACCACTTGCCCGGGGACACTCAAAGTTTTTCAATATTTTGCGTTGGCCCGACCATATTAGTGATGCAAATTATTGTGCATGCATGCGTGAATGTGAATATTTAATTTGTTCTCAGCAAGGAGCCTACGTATGACAAAAAATGGAATCGTATATTTTTATGGCACAGCCCGAAACGAGCTAGATAAATGAGACAAGTTTGCAGTGGGTCATTTTATGCCTGGGATCCGAAATGGGTTAAGTTTTCTCAATGTTGGGAAAAGCGCCTTAAACTACTGTGAAACTTATGGTCAAACTTGGCATATTTTGGGAACTGCCTCTATTAATTTAGAGTCTTAAATTTATATAACGCAGACATCAATATTTAATTGGCACACTAAGCCAGCTCCACACCTAATCTCTTTCAACCTAATGACCAACAAAGTTCTCCATGAATCACCTGCCATTTGGAAACGCTTTACTTATGCATTGCCTCTCTTGTGGCTGCAAACCACACTCCAAAGGATACTTACATGCATAGATTGACTGCCCGAATCGTTTATTTTATGCACAAGCACTTCCGAACCACATCGCAAATTTTATAACACACATTAATTTTGGTTAATAACTTTATAAGACAAACTAGCCAACTTGTTTAGATATCAAACTCCCGCTTACAGCCGGATGTTCCGCCCTTATGCCGCAAACTTTGAGTCAACATTTTTCACACAATGTTTGTGGAGCCTTCTTTGTGGAGGGATCGAGTTGGGGCATAAAATAGAATTGGAATAACCATACGATAAGCCCAATTTGTGCGCAGCTTTAGTGGGGCATTAGCCATACATAAAGCAAAGATAGACGCCTCCATATTCGTGCGTTGATGTGCGTCACTTCCGCTTGTAATTGTAGCTACAATGTCACAATCACTAGACCATATAAACGCAGCCAAGTCGTCGAAAGGGGGATGGGGTGTTGGATCGGCCAACTCTCGCACACATAAACAACCAGGATACCCACACACACACACTTACATTGGGGGCTGAGGACTGGCATTGTGTGCGCTTGTAAGTGGCTTGTGTCTTGCCCACTCGCCGCCATTCCACCAAACTGAAACTTAGACTGCACTGTGGACTGGAAAATGTATCTGCAACGAAGTCAACAGTAATCTCTTAATTTCATGGATGATATTTTGTAACTTTATACCAATATGTAATGAAATTTGTCGTAATATGATGCTAAATGTTTGGGAAAACCTTCTTAAAAATATATCTTTCAATAATAGGTCTTTGAATATTGATACATATATGTAGCTAATGATTTCATCTTCTCTAAAAACTTACTTTGCCCCACAGTGCTCGAAACCTCAACATCGCGGTCCTCTCTCGAACTTGCCACATTGTAAGTAGCCGCTCCAAAGGCACATGCCCACACAGACACACACACACAAACACATTCGCATCCCAAAGATACTCGGCATCCGGTAGGAGATATGGATGTGGGCTCTGTGTACGGATACTGTGCATTGCCTTGGCAATATTTACAAGTCACTTGTTTTTATGCCTACATTAATTATGCGCGCCTCTGACTTTGGTTTTTGGTCGGAGTCGTGTGCTCGTTTTCTTTGATTTTGATTTTGATGGCGTTGCCGCTGCCGTTGCCGCAATTCCTGCTTGGCTTTGGTTTTTCCGGGCTCTCGGGCGCTTTCAACTATGCGGCTGATGCTTGGGAGGAAGCCCCAAGTTCTTCACAAGAAGTGCCCCGAGCACTTCTGCGGCCATATATTTGCCGGCTTTAGACGCCTTTCGGGTGTGCTGGCTTAGGGCTTTTCCAATAATTTTCAACACTCATGCGGAGCGGCTGCCGTTGGTGCGGCGCTGGTTTAAGCGCTGCTCTTAATTGCTCCACACTGGAAACTGTCTTTCGCTCTGGGCCAGCCAGCTACAGCCAGCTACAGCCATCTACAGCTGCTCATAAATGTCAGGTCGAGGTAACAACTGGCTGGCTGCATTAAGTGACCCAGTTGTGCTTCCCTTTTGGCGCTCGCAGCCTGCGTTCTCCGTTTGCGCCTTTTAATGACATTATTGCGCACTGAAACGTATAATGCGTCAGTGCCGGGTCCGGGTCCGGGTTTTATCCTCCGTACGGGCTTTCAGTCCGGGCCCTGTGTGCTGGCTTTGCTTTGAGCTGGGCTGTGACCTTGCACGCGCCTTGACGTGCTCACTTTTGGGCAGACACTGCGTATGCGTGATGTGCGCATCTTGAGGCCTGCAAATAACCTTGTGCTGCAAAATTTGCGGCAGCAGGGCCGTCATTACATATGCCAAAAGCGATTGCAGGTCTTTGGGATGATGCCACTTACGATAATATTATTTTGCCTTACTGAATTTAATAATCCATAAATATTTAACTTTGCCTAACTTTATTTATGCCCTCAGCATTTTTAATTAGCTTATATTTCGTTTTCTGTCACTATGGTTTTGAATATGTAAGCACTTTGTGTCGCCAGCAATGAGAAAATTCTTCCTCCTCTTTTGAATATTAATATTTAATATGCTTTCATTTTCGACTTTGTAACACACAGTTTTTTTCACTTACATAATCTTGCCAAATTATTTCAATTCTGCATAAAATAGCATTTAATCAACAAAAAGGTATTTGTGTGCATTTTCTATCCGCCACCTCGTTCATCTCTGATTTAATTTATTTTCTGTGTTCCAACACATCCAGCTTAGCATTCCCTCCAGTTTCAAATGGACGTTTTTGCGTTGCCTACTTAGCGGCGCATTTGCATATCCCTCTCCATTCTTCGTTAGTCCTGCTAGGAAAAATACGAAAAGGATCCATCTCCATCTATTTAATATTCAATCGCTGAAATTGTTTGCGTCCCCTTTGTTGGCTAGTCCATTTGGCTTAAAAAAAAGCGACATAATATAGTTTTTATTAAATTCTTCAGTTTAATGCGTTTTATTCGGATTAATTTCTCTCTTATCCTTTATACACTTTGCTTCTCTTATTATCTTTACTCATTTCGATTTTAATTTAGCTTAGAGAATTAATTTATAGCTAGATTGTGTGTCTTCTCATTGTCCTTCTGAATTTATCTCTCTGTTACCGTTTATGGCCCTTTTATTAGGTCTATGCGTGTATGTTCTGCTTTGCCTAACCATTAACTTATGCTAAACATTCTCTTTATATTGTAGTGTATGCCATATAATATTTAAAATTATTCTGCCAGCTGGCAATTTTTTCGTTTAATATATTTACCTTGAGTGTGTCTGTGTTTGGGTTGAGACTTAAACAGTTGGCTAGGCTAAAATGTGTTTTTTGTTGTATTTTCGGTTTTTAATTTAGTTTTTGCTGCTATATTCCACTTGGTGCATTTGCCAACTAACTCACTTGGTGAAAATAAAATTTAGTCCTTCGCTACATACACAAATCATTCCGAGTACGAGTGTGTTTGCCTTGTTCTTACGTCTAATGATTTATTTATGCAATTTACAATAATCGATATTGTGCTTAAATGATTGCTTCTTCCCTCACTCCCTCATATGCATTTAGCTATTGCTAATTGTATTTTTTTTTTTCCTCAAAATACTTTTGCAAACATGTCCGCTTTTCTCAATTTTTCTTCAATTTATGTTACAGTGGAAAAGTCTTGAACACTTTACAGAACTTTTGGGTTAAAAGGAAAAGCTTGGGCTTTGCTTAAACGATTTCTATGGCTACATTTACATACAAGTCTCAAACGGGGCTATCCTAAATTTAGTTACTTCTTACAATGTTAGCCGATCTAATTTACGATATCTACTTTAACGATACCCGGAAACACTCGTGTTCATGTCTGTTTGATCCAATACAACAAACTTAAGGCGGGAAAAATCAAATTCGGAAGTGAGTGAAGGGTGAAGGATAAGGGACAAAGGCTTGCTTCAGACTTGGAAAAGTTCTGTGGAAAATAAATGCGATACATTATTTAAATGCAACTCTGGAGCGGATGAGGCCCGAATTAAAATTTCATAAACTAGAGCACACTACACGGGGGAAGCCCTTGACGCCACTCGCGATTTTCGGCCGGGTTTCTCGACTTGGCCCTTAGTCCTTTCCCCTGAAAGGCTCAACAGTTCAACAGCCGGGTCCTCGAGCCGGAGTCCTTTGTGCCACGGAGAGCAGGTGTCGCCATGGCGAAAACACATGCCACTTGGCTCTGAAGTGCGCCACCGACTCGGAACCTCGTGAAGTGGCTCCGCAGAAGGGGTGGATGGGACTTCCCGTCGATTGTCAACTAACAACGCCTGCGAGAATACAACAGCCCAATCGGCGCACATAGAACCCCACATTGGAACCCCCACATGTCTAGTAGTCTGGTAGGCCCGGGATTTCTTGGCGTCCCTTGCTTTTTCTTGCCATTGTGCTGCGGGGAAGCTGCTGAAAACTTTATATTAAATGAAAAAGTTTTTCAATTACATCAGCGGAAATAAAATGCTGCCAGCTTGCCACTCGAAGCACGCAGCAAACAGAAACAAACAACGACAAGAGGCTTTTGTTTAGCGGCGTCTTTGTTTTTCGGCTTTATTAGGTTAGGTCTGCCTATTGTTCTGCCAAATACTCTGAAGGCAAAGAGTCCTGTGGAAAAGTCGTGATATTTTGGCAGTGCCGACATGACTTCATGGAACCGTGACTAAAGTCACAAATTGATTTTAAAGTAGCACCTCTTCAATTGATGCATTTATGGGTTATCCATAACACTTTGCGTAAAACAACTTTAGATCCCAAGATATTTAAAAATATATTGCTCAGGCAGAACTTCCCACACCTGACGCGAACTTTTCCTTATTCCCATAAGCTAACTGAAACTGGATCCTTTTCACTGGGCTGGCGAGGTCCTGTCCCTGCCCCTACTTTATTTGGTTTTCTGAGACTTCTACTCGGACTCGCATTCGCAGCTCTCTCTCTTTCAGCCAATTATTAGGTTAAACTTGGGTCTGTCCTTGTTTGTTTTGCTTCCTTTTTGGGGCAAGCCAGCAAAGAAAAAAGGGAAAATGTAAGGAAGTAAAAAATCAGCGGGACGGAAACAAGTGAAGGGTGAACTTAGGCTATGAGTGGTTTGCTGATCAGCCTGGCCATTTACAGAGCCACTGAATCGTCTAAGGCCGCTTCATCCCTGGCAGTTGGCTGCTGGCCGGGTCAAATGTCGCTGGTTTCCTGGCCATCGCCCACGTATCCCTCGTCGGGGCTGTCGGCCAAGGGGCCATTAAGCTGTTTGAGTATCGCGGTGTCTGAGCTCTCTTCCTCGCCGGCAGGTGGCGCTGCGGAGCCAGCGGCTTCCTCGAGTCGCGGCGAACTCGCCTCGCTTTCATCCAGCTCCGGAATGGTGGACGTGGCCGTGGATTGTGTGCAAGCTGCTGATGTGGGCGCTGGTGGTGTGGCCACCACTGCGGCTGGTGGTGGAGTTGCGGCCGCTGGCAGGCTGGTGGGTGACTGGGCGAAGCGGTAGCCGGGCAAGCAGCTGGGCCACTGCTGGAACGGCGCCGGCATCACCGCCAAATCGCTTTTGTAGCCCTCTGGCGGCGAGGGGAACTGATGCTGCTGCTGCAGCTGCAGCTGCTGCTGCTGCTGAAGTTGCTGCTGCTGCTGCTGCTGCTGTTGCTGCTGCGGATAACCCTCCGCTGTGAAGCGCACATTGGGCAGCTGGTACTTCTCGTAGCTCACCGTCGGACCCCTCTGGATGAACTCGGCCTCGAGGCTGTAGCGCAGAGTGGGATTGCCGCCCACACCGACACCTCCGCCTGCCGCCGCAGCCGCCTGAAATTGCTGCTGCTTGTGCAACCTGTTGTGTGGCAAGGTGCGGTAGAAGTTGTTGGCAGGCTGCACCTGTTGCTGCTGCTGCTGCGGCTGTTGCTGCTGCTGCGGCGGCTGCTGCACCAGATGGGCGCTGCTGTAGTCGTACGCAAAGGCTCCATCTTGGCCCAGGAAGCACACCGGATTCAGGTGGACATCAACTTGATGGGGAGCCGGCTTCAGTTGCATGCCGCGCGGCAAGGTGGTCATCGCCTGTGCGAAGCGTCCCATCAGCGGATGTCCCGGATGTGGGTGCTGGTGTCCCGGATGCGCATGTGGAGCGGCCGCCAGCTGATAGCAGCCCTCGTACTGACCGCAGTCGCTCTGCGTCTCGTACTCCCCGGCTCCGTCGAGACTCACCGCCGTCTTGAGCTTGTGCTTGACACTCTCCGCATCGTTGACCAGGTCCGGATTCTTCTCCTGGTAGTTGCGCAGCGAGGCGGGTGGGGAACAGTAGGCGGCCGCCAAGCCATGGCCATTGCTCAGGAGCAGCGGCGGTGATCCCGGTCCAGTGCCCATCAGGTTGACATTCAGCTGCAGCTGCTGCTGGGCGGAGTTCGGAGTGGCGTAGAGGAGTAGGTTCTGCTTCATCTGATTGCCCAGGATAATGCCGCCGCCGGCTGCGCCATTCGCCGCCTTGGTGGGTGTCAGTGTGTCGCCCAGCAGGAGTCCTGCATTTCCGTTCAGACTGTCGCCGCCGTCATTCAGTATGGAGGCGCACTTCATCATTCCCATGCCCGTATCCTGGGTACTGCCCGTCGAGGAGTCGGTGCCGCCGGCAATGCTCGTCACCTGATCGCACTTCTTGCGCTGCTTGGCCGGCTCCGAGGTCTTCTTGCACTTGACCACGATGGTGCAGAGGAGCACCACGAAGATTATGCCACCTCCGGCGCTGCTGGCCACAATGTAGTTCATGTAGTACCTGGGGAACGAGACCTCGTTCACCACCGGCGGCTCCTTGATTATGACCCTCAGGGTGTAGTTGCTGAAGGTGGTGCCAGCTATGTTCTGGCCCACGCAGGAGAAGGTGCCATTGTCCTCGGCGCCTACGTTGTAGATGAAGATTTCGCTGCGCTTCTCCTCGGCGCCACTGACTCCGATCGTCTCGTCGATGTAGTAGTACATGTGCAGGTTGTCCATGAGGCTGTCGTTGCTCATCACCTGGCCATTGAATAGCCAAAGGACCTTCGGCTCCGGGATGGCCCTGACCAGGCAGGTGATGGACATGTTCCTGCCCTCGCTCACCTCCGTGTAACTCGACTGGGGACTGACCTCCGGCAGACAGGCCAGCTGCTCCCGCTGCAGGCTCTTGATTACCTGACCCTTCAGCCTCGCCGGCTCCATGCACTTGGGCTCCTCGGCCAGCGGGGTGTTGTAGTTGACCAGCCAGAAGTGGATGTCCAGGAGGCGGCAGTCGCAGTTCCACCGATTGCTGTGCAGGCTGATGCCGTGCAGCGACTTGGGCAGGATGTGGGTGCCCTGGATGAAGCCAATCCGATTGCCGTCCAGTCGCAGCCACTCCAGGTTGTCCATGCCCACGAAGGCCTCGTTCTCGATCCGCTCCACCTGGCAGTTGGATAGCTCCAGGGTCGTGAGGAAGGAGAGGTGCCGGAAGGCCGAGGTCTTCAGCTCCCTGATGGGATTTCCACTCAGCGAGAGGCGCATCAGGGAGCTGTAGTCCTGAAACGTCTCGCTGGGCACATTCTGCAGCGCATTCTCGCTGAGATCCAGCTCGACCAGATTGGTCAGGCCCCTGAAGGCCTTCTCGTGTATCCGGATCAGCTGATTCCGGGACAGATAAATCTTCTGCAGGTTGAGCAGATCCATACGCAGAAAGCGCTCCGACTGCAGCACCTGCAGCGCATTGCCGCTAAAGTTGAGCACCTGGGTGCCCGGATCCATGCCCTCCGGTAGATTGGAGAGCTGCTGGCCCCCGCACTCCACCGTCTGCTTGCCCCCCTTCCACTTGCACACACACACCTCCGGCGGACAGGCCGCCGTTAGGGCCACAAGTGCAAGGAGCGGTATCCAGATGGACAGACCACTCATTGTCTCAAGTGCCTCCGGCTGGGCTGCGTCCTTTGTTCAAAGATCCTTCTAAGTTTCCTACTTGCGTTTTCTTGGCTCTGCCTGTGCAGCACTGGGGTAAACAATTTTCGCCAGCTGGCTCACGTTGGCATGTCAAATTATGCAGCCGGGCTCTTTCCGCGGGTAAATATTATTAGCCGATCGGACGCTGTCACGTCTACTGGAGCAGTGTCGGGCCATAAAAGTAGCGCTTCCCCATCCACTTTAATCGCTAGCGGAGTGCCGCCCGTCATTGTCCTGTCGCTGGCGCTTTTGTCATGGCTGCTACTTCCGCTTCCACTCGGCGCAGCCTCTACTCCTTCAGCGTCCTTTGTATTAATTTCATAAAAATGCCAGGCCCTTGATTCGCGCTTGACAGCGCTCAGAAGTAGGCAATGGGCTCGGGGGCTATTGTCGCCTTTTGCGGCTTTCTGACTTTCTCCGCTCGCCTTTCTTTTTCCCCCCAGCCGCTCTTTTATCTCACGGATACGCTGTTTCACTGGCGGCGGAGAAAGGCTGTTGTGCTTAATGAAATTATAACGTAATGCATTTGCCGCGTCTACTTGTCGAACTGGTTTTGTGTCTCGTTTAACGCCGGTTGCTGCAAGGAAATGAAGAAAAGATTCAAAAGAAGGATGAAGTTAATATTACATTTAAGACAATCATATTTTGCTTTAGCTTTTGCTTTTTTTCCAGGCAGATAAGATTAAATTTGATTCAACAAAATGTATATACATAGACCCTGCATTATTAATAGAAATAGGCATTCAAGAACAAATTTTGTAAAAAGTAAATTCCCCGTTTCGATGGCCCATATTTTGTATTTATGTCACAGTAAAACTAATTAAAATGCTGCGACTGGTCGATTTGAAAATGGTAAAACGCGATTAAGCTAACAAAAATGTAGCTCTCAAACATTTCACTCTAATCCCGAAACATTTTACGCATTCTGTGATTACAGACAAACTAATTTTCCTCTCGTGCGATTAACGCACAAAATAAATTGAAAATAATTTGGCTCATTATCTGCGTGACATGGAGCCATAAATAAAGCGCAGTCGAGGTAAATTATTCCCGATAATAAGCCCACTGGCCACTTTTGTGTCTGGGCCGGTTGATTTATTTTGAATAGTTTTTTCAGCAGGTCGCGTTTCAACGAGGCTTCTCAATTATTCAAGTGTTTGTTTTCTTGCATAATGAATCGTATCGGATTGGTTCGGAAGTGAATCGAGTGTCTCAACAAGCTTATTATGCCCCGAATTGATATTGCACTTATGCAAATATAAATCCGCGCCGGATAAAGTGAAATGCGAATCGCAATCGCACCGCAGCATTGACACAGCGAAAGTACGAATTGAGTGCAGATTGTTGGGCTTTAATTGGATGGAAATGGATTGGTCGTTTTGTTTATATAATCCCAATAATTTGCTGTGCCCATTAAGACGCATCATTGTGTGTCCACCTTGTTCCCGCATTTATTTGCTTATTATTCATATTTTTATGAGGGCAGTTCATTAAATTCGCCCTGTGGCCTGGCAGGTGACATTAATATTTGTCAAAATTAATCTAAGTGAAAAACAAAAGGCACAACGAAGTTGAACAGGAAACGAGAGCCATAAACAATTGAAAATGTCAGGCATAAATCATGCAACATATTGCCCGATGGCTCCTTAGTTAAATAACAGATAAATTACAGGAAAATTAACTTAAATGCAAGTTTATTATGCGCACCAAGAAATTGCGTTCACGTGAAAAATAACATAAAAACAAAGCCCCAGATTTCGCCTGGACTCTGGGTAACCCAAGATGAGCTGTTCGGTCACAAAGGCAAATCCCGTAAAGATTCCAGTTTCATTAGCCGCCCTTCTGCCCCATTCCAAATACCCAACTACGGATGGACTCGTATTTCAGTTGACTAAGAACAAACCGTCTGGCGCCAATGCAAATGCGTAATGGATACTCGGATTCCAGCAAATTGACTTGATTTGGCAGCCACCTGAAGTCTGTTCTTCGACCGACAGGCCGACAGGACGACAGGACATTATTAATAACCGAACATTAATCATGGCCGGCGACTTTCAGTGGCCTAATGTAATGTTGGCCCAGCTGCTTTTGACTCTCACTCAAATGTTCGGCACTTAGTACGAAACTGAAGCCGAGATTGTAATGATACACCTGAAAGGTGAGGTTGCTCAAGGACCTGCCCTACACCCAATGGCAGACTGTTAATTGGAAAACTGTATTCTGGCCGACAGTACACAAAGGCATTTTTGGGCAGCACACCGAACACTGAACACTGTGGGAAAAAGTTTGGAAAATGCATTATTCAGACTTCGCTCTAGTCGACTGTAAATATTTGTATTGGCACTTGCGTAATTGACCAATTCAACAGTGCTTTCCTGCTGTTTTCGGTTAGTCTAAGCCGAATCGTAATTTTAATTAAGTTTTCGGAAATGTCCCTCTCGCCAACTTGCGCACAGAGATAAATGGAAAATGTTCTTTCCCATTTGGCTGGCTTGTCAGCAAACATTTTTTGACATTTTCATTTGTCAGTTATGAAGCAGACACAGACAAGAGATAGAAAATCCTAGCTCGCATCTGTGTGGGTGTGTGTGTGGGTTGTGCACATTTGTTATATCCTTATCACAAAATGATTTGACAGTCGAGACCAAGAGGCAGTTGAACCTCTGCGAAGCACTTCCAACTGTCCGGGCCCGAAACTTTTTCTATCTTGTGTGATTTAATAAGATGACAGGAACGTAGCAGACTTGTAAAATTTGAGGGATTTATTCAACTGCTGCCTGCGGCTACTGCCGGAATAATTCGGGCTAGATAAATATTTATTTTACCTTCCACATGTCCCATGTTCACGCAGACCCAGACATCGACACGCCAGTTAAACTGCTGTCACTGGGAATAATTTCAATTTCATTCCGTTAGCTCGTTTGCAGGAAATCAATAGGCCTTTACAACAAATTGACCTTTCACTCAGGAGCAAATGAAGATTTCATAAGAAATTCTCTTTGAAATGTTGATAATTCTGATTATACTCCTTATCGGTGCTGATAATTTGTGTGCGAAATGCGGTTTACAAGATACTTTTGTTTGCGCTTGTACAACAGGACGTATGCGTTATAATGGAACGTGTAAACTAAAAGTTCAATCACAAGCTGTAATCACATTTATAGTTTGAAATAGTGTTGATTATAGAGTTTGTAGAGCTACATTTATACATACTGATAAATTTGTCCAATAAAAGCCAATGAAATTTAAATTCACTTACAATTTGGTACACATTATAAGGAAAATCGAATTTAAACGTAAATTAAATTCATTCATCCCGGCCTAAATGTCTAGTGCTGCAACCGCACTGCCTCTTGGCCCAGCCCACCTAATAAGCCTAAACCTAATTAAAAACTTATCAACAGCTGCGGCAAAATGGCAATTTTCCAAGCATTTGTTTGTTGCCGTTGGCAACCTCAAGCCAGACAACACCAAGCGACTCCGGCTGACTTCTGCGGAGTCCCAGAAATTGTAATACAGTTTCTGAGAACACTAATTCAACATAGTCGCCTGGAAGTGAAATTCCACAGGCCACTTAAAGCCGCACCTGGAATTAGAAACTTCAAAGGGGCCCTGCGCACATGTCATAACATGTGGAAATTAAAATTTACATCACAACTTAAGCGACGTCGTCCCGTCGAGATCCGTTTTTTCCCGTCTTTTTCGCAGCTCCTTTTTTGGCAGGCCGAGCACTTAATTTGGCACATTGCCGTGCATATTCTGGCAACGAGACGACGACAACAATCCGCCCAGGTGCAGCCACAGTGGCGACGACGGCATTTTGTTGTAGAACACATAAATTTTGTACAAACTGCCAAAGGAGAGCGAGCAGTGGCATAAAAATTGGTGATGTGGCCATCGAAAATCATCTGTAAATACATTCCAGGCTTTTCATATACAGCGGACTAGCTGGAAAATAATAATAAAATACCAAGCCTGCATTTTCAAGTTGAAATAAATAATTGCCTACTGCGAGAATTCATTGAATTGTGTTTTAAAGCCACAATTATTTAAGCGGTCATTTGTTGTATCATATTTATCTGTGTGTAGCTATAAAAAAGCTAAGTGGCCAGCACTCGGGCGACACCAGCTACAAAAATCGCAGCAATGGTCATAAAACTTATACCTTTGCTGCGAATTACGAGCCCCAACTAGCCGCAGCAACAACGCCGCAGCGGCAGGAGTGGGCGCAGGGGGCGTGGCGCAAATAAAATTACGCATGCAATGGCAAAATAAAATATGCATCAAAAATAAGCTGCAGCTGAATCCGCGAAGTGCAAAAAACGCCGTGGGTACGGCAAAACATATTTATATAAAAGTAAATAGCAGAGCCAGGACTTTTGGGTTCGTTAAGCTCTGCGGGCTGCAATGGGTGTGTTGCGGGGAGATGCAGAGTCCATGGACAAATTTGCTGATTCCGCAGCATAACTTAATTATTTTATATGTGCCATGGCGATAGAAGAAGCCATCTCACAGCTTGTGTGGTATTTATTGCTGCATTTCGGCGAGGGCATCCCGGTTTCGGCTTGACATTAAGTATGCGCCCCGTGTGCCGCTGTTTTATGTTAATTTCCACTTTACGCTTGCCGACACAAACACAAATAAAAATGTGAATATGAATGTAATCCAAACAAGCGTTGTGAAAATTTTTACTTAAAAGATTTTTATTTTTTTTCCCTTTTTTTTCGAGGAACAGCAGCTGCTGCTCCCCTAAAAGCTTTAAGAGCCTCGCGCCTTCCGCGCGGTGGGTATAAAAAAATCAACTAATTTTCATTTTATACTGCAGCAGAAACAATTTTAATTCAAGTGCGCCAGACGCACGAACACAGCGCCACTAACAGCCTCTAAAATTTTAATAGCTCACACATTATAAACGCAAATAAACGCCTCCGCCGGCATTCCTTTGAGCACTTTCGTCCTTTCGTCCTTTCGTCCTGCTGCCACTTCGTATTTCGATGTACATTTGCCTAGCAGCTTAGGTTGTTTGTGGCATGTGCACTTAGGGATGGGGCGGCGAATAGGGGAATGGGGGAGAATGGCGAGAAGGAAAGTTTTCCGACTTTCCCAGCGTCCAGCGCCCACTTCAGGGGACTTCCCCATATCCTTGAGTCCCGCCTGCAACTTAAAGGCACTAAAGCTGCACAGAATTAAGCATACTTCTAGGCACTCAGCGGCACATTATGTTTATCATTATGTTTATACTATGGGTATATATGGGGCCTAATGTTGCCGTTTTCTTGGCCAACGCCAGCTGTTGCCCGGAAAAGTTCAACTCGGCCCTAAGGTGAGTGGCAAGCCGAAATCAATGCAGTGCACAAAACTTTTTAATTGCTTTTAAAGTTTCGCAAATATAGCAAAGCATTTTGGCCATCGAAAACAAACACATTTTTTACTGTGAATGAAATATTACCAAAAATATTAGGAACAGAGCTTGTTTCATGTAAATTTTGGCTGTTTCGTTAGCAGTTTATTAACTTTTATGTAGCCCAATATGCAGCTTAATTGCTTTTTAATATTCGAAAAACTTCGTAGCCCTGCAAGGAATAAACTTGTTTAATTTTATTTAACTTTAAAAATAACACGTAATACGAGACACTTTTGGCAACGTTTTATGACTTGAAGCGTAATAAAGCTTCCCAATTATCTTGTGTTTCAAAGGCGATTTTAACCATCGCTGATCTAATCGTAAATACATATGCTATATATTTTTATTCCACCTTTCCGCCCATTCAAATGCCGCAAAATGGTCTTCTTTTTGTCTCATCTTTTATTGCCTAGCGTAATGTTTAATTATACTCTGGCTGATGACGTCCTGATAGCTTTTCTGCTTTTCTCCTTTCTGCTTTTCCGCTTCTCCCTGCATTTTTTTGGCGCATAAACATAACGCAGTTTATATTTTATTTATTTTTCCCTTTTCTTGTGCCTGTTTGCTGCTCATTTTCGGGAGGGAATGCCGCCTAAAAACCAATCATAAAAAACCCAGCCGTACGAAACGGTTTTATGACATTTTCCTGCCAGCGAAACCCCACCAAAGCCACGCCCCAGTGCCCCAATGCCCCCCAGCCTTCCACACATGCGGCTGGGTAATTTGCCATAAAAAATTGGAGCACAGGCTCGTATTTGTGCAATTTCACAGAAATTGTCAATTTGCACTCCCCCAAAAGTCTAAGCCGGAATGATGATGACGAGGAATGTCAGCGGCTGATGGCTAAAAGGCGGGAGTGGAGTGGGGCTTATCCGAGGGAAGGGTTTTGGGTTTTTTGTGTTTTTTGGGCTATGGCAGAAGACATGAGAGGAGCACGCAAATACGCGTTGATATTTTTATGTGTCTGCTGTGTGCATTGGAAAATCGACTGTTAACATTTAACGCTGCAAATGTAGCCACATTTATGTATTCCTTTCAGTTCCGTCGGCTTTATTTGATTCTCGTTTAATTTCGCACAGCCACCGCCTGGCCCCTAAAAATTGGCATAACAATTACGTCGGAAATAGGCAATGAGAATGAAGCTTTCTACGTTACTGGAAGTGCCGGACTCCGAAGGACTCTCTGCCCGGAATGCGACTATTTGCTATCTGCAGAGCACTAACAATGGTCTGCCTCAATGGCACGTAATTGCAGTGAACACAGTCGCAGCACGCACAGTGGGTCGAAATCATCTAATTGTACCTAACCCTACTCAACTGTACGATGAAGCTCAAACTTCTAGTTCTCATAGGTCCCGAGATCATAGGATCCGTTTTCATATTGATCGAACTTGACTCGTTTTCATTGTTAGCTTCGCAGATATAATTGCACCTCCCTAAGTTCCAAAGACGTCCCACTGTAACCCCAACTATTGCACGGCGCTGCAACATATCCTTGCAACTAGCGCTTCCGTTTCCGTGCGTCAAGGAGACGGCGCTCCTCATCCACCCCTCCAGCCCGTCGCATTTTCTCCTCGACTTGCCACCGCTCTTGTTGCCGTCTTCTGCAGCATGCCTCTTCAGACCGCCTTTGTTGTCGCTTGCCGTGTGAATGAGTGCAATTAGCAGAGCCACTTGCTCTCGACGATGCCGTTTTTGTTTGTGTCCGGCTCTGTTGCTGATCTGTCGAGCGACTTGCATTAAAAATTAATTGTCCCCTGTCTCCTGTGTCCCGTGTCCTGTGTCCTGCGTCCTGTCTGCGTGCACTGTGCACAGTTCAATGTGGATGTCAATGTTTCGGGTCAATTATACGGGAAAGTAGACACTGCGCCCACCCAGAAAGTTATTGAAACATTTGTAAACGCCATTAGATGTTTGCGATTCTGTTTGAGCTCGAGCAGCGCGTAAATATAAGGAAATGAAATGCGCACAAATATTCCACTTAAGCCCACTGTTCGCCTTTAAGAAGGATTAGCGGCCTTTGTCGGAATTTCCTGCATTGGGATTTCTTGGGGCTGAGCAATTTTTGATTAAAATTACATTCATTGCGGCCTTTGAAGTGTTGGGATTTGCCAACGGACATCTGTAACCTAAATTTTCCGTCCGGTTTGGGTCAATATTTTGCCAGCTTAGGCAACGCACGTGAGCCGGGCCAAAAAGGACTTTGGCTGGAAAATCCCCTAACCAAAATGTGGGGATGATCACGTTCCTTCTCAGCGGGATTTCGTACCTTTTTGTGGACTCTGGACTCGGGTCTTTGGGCCAGCATAATTTGCCGGCACTAGCCACGTTAAGGCGGTCCGGTTTGCGTCCTGATGGATTGTTTGACTAATTAATTTTGCTAGAGAATTTTACAAAATTGCATTTGGCCCGGACCAAAGTTATTAAATTTTTAATGGATGCTTAAAGGCCCGAAGGCGCTTTATGTGTTTTTATTTCGCCTCGGTCGGCAGCCAGATGTTTAGCATTTAAAGTGATTTTCATTTGGATTTTTCCTTAATGCTATTACGTTTTCCTTTCCTTTGCCTCCTTTGCCTCCTTTGCTTCCTTTGCTCTCGGCTCTCAATTATTTAGCCATTGACAATTAGAGACTTTCGCAGATGCTGCCGCACCTAATGCGATTTCGCCTCATTATTCTCAACAATTGTTCATTTTCCAGCGATTTTCCCAGGAAATTATATTTGATTCAACGCATTTCTCTGGCCCAATTATCGAACACTTCTTTTGTGGTCGAGTGTCATCGTGAATAGATTTAAACAAAAAAAGCAGTAATTATATTTCCTAGAAATTCTGATGTTTACAAACATCTAGTAGACTGTGCTGGACTTTTCGCAGAAATCTGCTCGAGTGCATTAACGACTCAATATTCTGAACAAAATGGATGGCTGTCGACGAGCTAGAAAGCGAATTTTCCTAACTTATCTGCTCTCATTCGTGCTGCTCTCAAGCTTTTTCTACTACCTCATGGCCTACAACAGCAGGAATAACTTGGGCATAATGCGACTTCGTGAGGATGTCGACGATATATCGGTAAGGCGGTTGCCTAATCTCTGCCAGCAGACCCCTTAGCACACAGGCTTTCCCCCAGCACATCCTTCGTCAGCAGCAGGTGGGCTGCAAAGGAGCGCAGGGGTCGTGCAAGGTCAGTTGTGCTGGAGGCGATCCAAAGGGAAGTTGCGACCACCGGGATGTAAGTGCCTATGTGGACACGCTGCTCAAGCGCAAGATGGGACATTTGATGGACGACGTTTACAATCTGAAGAAGCAGGTGATGAGTGCCGATTGCTCCTCCAAAAGTGGCCAAGCGGCACCGAAACCAGAAGCCGCTTCGCTGGCCAGGCCGCGCATTAACTACGCCTCCGAGGATCTGGGTGCCAGGATCATCAATGTGAAGGCACAACCCATCGGTGGCACCAATTTCATCAAATGGCTTCTGGGCCTGGACTTCAGCGCCAATCCGCCGGTGAATATGATTCGAGCGGCGCTTTCTCCGGGTGCCTGCTTCGGATTCAATGGCAGCCAGGCCACCGTGACTCTGCAACTGGCCAAGACCATCGTCGTGGAGGTCATATCCCTGACCCACGTGGCCCGCGAAATGACGCCCAGCTTGTGCGTGAGGAGTGCGCCCAAGAACTTCGATGTATACGTAAGCACTCTGTTGTAATGGATCCCGATATCTTCTGGGGTTTTCTTTCCGCAGGGTTTGCGAAATGACAATTCTAAGAAGGAGCTGTTGGGACAGTGGAGCTACGATAACGCGGCCAACAGGCGCACTCAGAGCTACAGTGTGCGGAGCGAGTTCTTTTTTCGAAATCTGGCCTTTTTGTTCAACTCGAACCACGGTGCGAACTCCACCTGCATTTATCGGTAAATGTTGCTCCAAAATCGTACTAACAAATGTTTTAAGCACCTGTCTTTTTTTTTCCAGCGTTGAAGTGTATGGCAGATTGCATTAATGTTTTTAATTTTTATTTATATATTTTATATCAGTTGTTTTGCTTTAAATGTTATTTAAATGTGTTTTACATGCTGGCATGTATAGTTTAAATATTACTTTTCATTGCGAGCCATTGTTGCACAAGCAAATACATAAGTATTGCCCAATTTTGGCTATATAATGTCTATGTACATTCCAAGTAAAGCAATAAACGAGTCCGTAATAAAGTAAATTTCAGAGTTAACCTTGCTATTTTGGGCGTTCAGCTTGCAGAATGATTCCCTGCTAAACGGTGCAACTAATTTAAATTTCTCAGCACGGAGCGTTGGAAATTTCTGGGATCCCCAGTGACTTGTCGCATCCGCTTTGATCTTCCGCGAATGCTGTGTTTTCGTTTAATTTCGCTCGACCTGAACGCTGAGGGGTAAACATGGCATAAAAAAGTCGCCCAGGGACGAGTTGAGTGCCCCAAATAAAAAGAGGATGCAAAGTAACGTGGGATCTGAGCCGTTTGATCTGCGCCGTGTCACATTGTCAGTGCCCCGAGACTAATTAGCGATTGTTGGCGGTAGCATGCGTGAGGACCACGCCCCCAGCGCCCCTTTGCACATGCGTTTATGTAATTAGTCGACAATATGCTCAGATGTCATCTGAGATTTACGCGGCGTTCGATGGGGAATTTGGCAGCCTTTCCAGCACGGGAAGCCATCTGCCCGGAATTGTTTCGTTTGATTTCGTTCGTTTCGTTTGATTTGATTTAATGCGATTCCATTTGTGACTTACTCGGAATTCGTTTTCGTAATTTGCAATTGTGTGTGTTCCGTGCACACACACACATGCACACACCTGCACACACCCATACACGGAAAGCCACGGAGGACATGAGCACAAAAGTCTGATTGTCTAAATGTAAATGTCGGTGGATGTGTGTTAGATGTGCCTGATTTTGTTTGCGCAAAAATTTATATCCGTTGTTCTTCTACCAAACAGGGGCATGGGGAATTTTTAATGCACTTGGATACGAAGTTCAAGTTAAAAATTAAAAATATCCTTAATTTAAAATGAAAGCTTTTTTTATTGTAGGAAATCTTCTGCATGAAAAAAACCTAAAAAATGCCTACATTTTTAGAGCTCACCTTTATAAAATTGCAATGCGACAAATGTACACAAATGTACTATTTAATACGTATATTCTTTTTTTAACTGCGGGTAGTGTGTTTAGAGTTCGTTATGCCCAAGCCTAGCTTTCGCCATTTTCTTCCTCGGTGGCGCAATTGTGGCTTGTTTACACGGCAGCCAGTGTTTCGTTCCATTCTGCGGTCTGCGCTCTAATTGCGCTCTGCAATATATCAGAGCCCCTCCCACCGTGCCACGCCCACCTGACACTCATCTGCAACCACCCACACACACGCACACGTACACATACATCCATGTATGCGGATAGCTCTTCACTTTGCGCTTTTTGCGCATTTGGCGCTCTTTCTTAGCCAGCTGCTGCCGTTTTGCCATTTGCTTACGCGTTAAAGCTGACAGGTAAAATGGATTTGTTACGGCAATAGAACAGGTAGCTGGCTGGCCAGAGGAGCGGAAGACGGCGATTTCACGAGAGCTGGCTGGAAAATGCATGACAGGTGAGAGGGAAACCCACGGACTCGTGCCGGTGCAGCCGGAAAATAACTTGGAATATTTCTGAATATTTTGGGAAGAGCTTTTCGAGAGCATGAGGATATGCTCTGATTTTGTAAGCTTTGCTGGAAATATGTGTTAATATTATAAGCATTTACAATAAAAACGAAGGTATCAAATTGTCCGATCATTTACTGATTGAGGTAGCATTAGATATCTTAGCTTGGCATAAAAATAATAACAAAAATGTAACAAAACTTATGCTTATTATGATCAAGAAAAGTAATTCCCAATCCGAAATCCGGCATCAATTAATCATGTATTTTCCCTACTCAACGAGTGTTGTTCCGTTCAGTAGCAACTCATTCTGTTAACCGAACGATGCTCGAAAGGACTTTTGGCCAAATCGAAAAATACATTTGAATAATGAGAGCGTTGAGAGCTGCTGCAGATTGGCTGAGTGCTCTGCTGCATTGTTACGAGCAGGAAAGCCGGCAAACTGGTGTCCTGGCAGTTGGCAGGCAGCAGCTGCTCCTGTCTGACGTCCTGTCCCCTGACAGCCTTCCACTGTCTGCTGCTGTTGGCCACTGACATTTTGGGATTTCGGGCTCAAAATTTGAGTTGCCAGTCGCTTATGCATGCAGCCTGGGTTGGCTAACAACCAGAGCAATAATAATTGTAAGCACTGGCTGTCGGAGTCGAAAAGTTTTGGGTTTGTGCTAATTATGCCGCCAGGAGTTGGGCATTTGCAAGGAGCTTGGAGTTCGGAGTTCGCATTTCCGAATACGGACTGGCAGCTAATTTTTGCCAGCTGTCAACGCTCCCCATAAATCCCTCAAAGTCAGCAGCACTGCACCCACGTGACACATCAATTCGCATTCTTGTCTGTCGCTGGCACACGCACATGTGTGAATACACTCATATCCATCAAATTGCAATCGTCGGTTGTGTCGCCGCATGCAACGTCGCTTATCGCTCAGCTCTGTAATGATGGCAGCAAACACCGAAAACCCGAGGAGACCCGAGGACCCCGAAATTCCCCTCATTTTCATCACCAGCCCAACCCATCCCATTCCCAGCTATCAATCCATCTCCTGGAACTGCTGCAGTACATTTTTCATAACGCAATTCATGTTATTCATGTGCCAGCGACACGTCTTCGTGCCCCTTGGATTCGACTTTGTGGCAACTGCACAGTGGTGAGGGATTGACAGCCGCATTGTTTATTTTTCTAACTAGTTTAACCCGTTTCCCCATTAAGTTGTATATATACCTTATAAATCTTCAGAATATTTAATATTCTGAGAACGTGCTTAATTCGAATTTAAAAACAATCTCAAAGCAGTTTTATGGGCCATAAAAAAGTCATCAACTTGTTAAAAATTCTTTCCCAACTACATTTCAATATGAGCTCTAATTCTGCTTCACAACTGCATAGTTCCTTGACTGCGAAGAAATATCTTAAGTTTTTAAAGCGCCTTCCTTGTACCCTAGAGCAGTAGTAAAGTAATCAGTTTAATATCTTTGCCCATTTCCACTTAATGTTTCGACATTTTGGATATTTATGTGGGCAGACTATTACATGCGCGCTCCCACTGTGCGATGTCATAAAAATTGTCTCATTAATCATCACACGACATGCCCCAACGCTCCACGCCCCCTGCCCCCGCCACGCCCCCTTTCTTGTGTTCCCGTTCGTGATGTTCCCCAACTCAAGGGGCTATTTTTGTGCCATTTGCAGGAAGCACGGACTTAGTGTGAAAATCCAGCGAGCAATTAAATTGGCTCCCCCATTTTAATTTCCATTTCCAGTCCCAGATACAGATACAGATACAGATAGAGATTCAGCACCAAAAGCAGAACCAGCATCGGATTCAGATGCAGCCCCTCGAACAAGTGCAGGCAGCATAAATCAAAGGAATCGGCCCTTCGTGGCAAATGGAAGTGGTATTTTTACTGGCGTGGCATTTTAAATTGTCTGCGCCATATTTAAAATAGCAACTAATTAATTTCTTTTTTCACGCTGCTGCTGGGAAGTGCGCATTAATAAACAATTAAGTCCCTTTAATTGCAGCTAGCACCGTGGATTATAAATTTCCAAGTGAAAATCCCCAGACCCCGGAGCATCCATAATGAGTTGGGGCTCCCAACCAAATTCGTTTATTATTGATCAGTTTGGGTCATAAGCTGCTTAACTTTGCCCCGCCAAAGTGCCAAGCCACCCAGGGAGCTCTTTTTAATAGAGTCAAATGCGCTGCGAGGCATTTGGCCATTTCCTAGAAAATTCACTGCTCACTCTGCTAAGCCGAAAATCTGCGCTCATAGTAGCTCATATGGTGCACGGATTTTCTAAGTCGATTTGCAAAGGACGGTGTGCTAAGTTTGGGCATCTTAACATATTTAATTAGAGTGCAAATCAAACTTAAAGTCAATTCATTTACATACCATTCAAGAGTGTTGCTGACAGATGTCCAGTCTGGAAGTAGAAAAGAAGAAGTTCCTTTTAATAAAATAATTAATTTACGGAAACGCCCTCTTCAATCCACTCTCACTGACAAGCAGTTTTTCCTTTTAGCATAAATGCCAGCTCCGGCGGGAAAACAACATTCGCTGGCATCTTGGCCAAGTTAATATGATGGGACACGTTAAGCAGGCTTGAATGATGTGTATCAAGGACGCAGAGAAAAAACTACCAACTGTGTCAGCAGAAAGAAGAAACAACGCCAACACAGCAGCCCAGTGCAATGTCTGGTTGGGAAAAATAAAGGGAAAAAGGACAAGGACGAGCGGAAAACCAAATGGGAATGACGATAGACATTGAACACAAAAAGGGAAAATGGAGCGAAGACATTAGCCTGGAATGACAGCAACAAGATGCGAGATAGACACTCGGCTTATATCAGTTCTGTGTCCTGTTCTGCCGAGGATGCTCTACCCCTCTTCTGCCCCTTGGATGCGGAAACAAAGGCAACTTGCAACCGAAAGGCGTCGAAAGTGCGTGCAACAAATTGAAGACAACTCGGTGAACAACAAATTCCAATTGACAGGCTCCTCTGCAAATGCTGCGAATGAAAATTCGGTGGAGCAGAAAATCGTTGATTTTTAAAACAGCTGTGAAAAATTCATTCCAGCAAAAGATAACAAGCATTGAATATCACTACTATTATTATTAAGTTTATATAGAATAGAAATATATATTAATTAACTTCTTTCCATCCTGCCTTTTATATTTATTTTCTTTTCTTACTTTTCTGTCTTGCACCTCTAATTAAAAACACTGTTTATTGGCGCAAATATAAAGTTCTGCAGCTCGTGCTCATCAAATTTTCAGCCCAGTTCAACATCTCACGCAATGTAGTTTTCTTGAGCAATCTGTTACATGTTGCCAGTTTGAGTTTTCTATTGAAAATCGCTTTTCTGGCCCAAGGACAGCTGGCTTGGCCCAGATCCCAGTACTCGCATTCAGAGCCACGCACACACAGGACTTATTCATCACTCACTCACTTAGTCAGCGTGGCGCCCAAGGATCGATGCCGAAGGAAGATGGAGGATGTGGGCCGGGAGGAGGGAATTCGGAGACGTAGCTCCTTCGTCGAGTTCCGATTTCGCTGGCCAGGAAAACACAACGCCGCCAGCTGGCATAGGGCTTTTATTTGCCATTTGTAGACGAGTCCTAAGTGCAGATAGGGAAATGCCTTTCGTGGCTCTGCTTTAGTTTAAATATTTATATAAGCGCGGCATTTTATGAGAAATATTTCGAAATTGCTCTGCATGGCCGTGCTCGAGTATTTTGCTTTTATTATTATTGCAATAGGCCCGCACTGTGGAAAAACGAATTTATGCCAAGTATTTTTCTTTGTTACAAATGCACTTTGGCAATGATATTTGTGCTGAGCATTACATTTTTCATTTATGGGATTTTTGGAATTTGTGCAGCTTGTTCAGATTACTAGCCTAGTGATGCAAGCCTGCTTTTAAGATTATGAGCCTGTGTATCCATCAAAGGATTCCACATTTTTAAACACGCAACTCTAAGGAGCTTGCTGAAAACACAGCTTCATTGATATCCAACCACTTTCTCCGCCTTTCAGTTGCAAACAACATTGCACATACAAATTCAAATCTATTTATATCAATTTACTCACTTCACTGCCGACCTGACAGACAATTTCCCGCAGAGACCCTGTGCTCAGATCTCGTGGTTGAGCAATTTTTCAACAGATAAAATCAAGTCCAAACAAATCAAATCAAATGCAGACAACAGCACAAAAATGTAACACACAAAACACCGAGCAGCACACCCACACGTGCGGCAGTGGCAACTACAGAACAGTGGCAAAGAACAATAACAGTCGGCAACAAAAGTAAATTAATAGAAAACAATAACAATTCCTTTTATTATTATTACTGCAGTGAGTCGAGGGCAGATATCGAAGTGAAGTGAAGTTCCCTGGGAGAGAGATTCGAATTTGTTTCGCCAGTGTTTGTTGCTCGCCGTTAGCTGTTAGCTGTTTGTTTGTTGTTTGTTGTTTGTTGTTTGTTTTCGGTAAATGCCCAAGTTTCTGGGCTTCTGAAGTGTCTGTGTTTGTGCATGTGATTTACTCAACGGCATGTACGTAAAATACAAATCATGTTCAACGCTCGGCCTTGCCCCGAAAAGTGAGCCACACTCTTTTGACACTGGCCCACGGGGCGGATGCGTGACGGGGGAACAGCTGAGGTTTGTCCTGGCAAATGGTTGAGCTGTCCCACTCTCTGCGTCAATTTTTCTCTTTTATAAACCCAACAATGGAGCCCAAGAAATCAGGCTGAGTGAAAAAGCAAGCACGGCTGGCCAATGCAAACTTAAGATACCCTGCCTAAGCTTTATCCGTGAAATATTTTTAGTTTATTGCTAGTGCTGGGTTATAAAAACTTTAGAAAGATGCATTCGAGAATACTGCTGCACACGAATTTACGGAATATTTAAATTGAAATTTGTTGCAGCAAAAACTTTTCAGCTATCTTTAACTTCCTGGGAACGGACACGTATTTAAAAAGTTTAATGATGATTAAAGAAAAAATTTATGTGCATGTATATACTTGGGATACGTATTTCTGCTTTCGGGCGTGGCAAAGTTTTTAGAAAAACTTATCACACTCGCTGCAAGAGTACAAACTGGGGAAGGAAAATATCACAACAAGCAAAGTGGGATAAAAGTCTCTCAAGGAAAACTTTTGCCAGGTGTTTGTTAGTTAGTATGTGTGCATGTGTTTCTGTGGCATTACGTGCATTGCATGTCGAATGTGTGTAACAAAGTCTAAAAAACATCAAGCACAAACACAAAGCAGTGGTAACTTTATCTAAAGTACAACATTCTCCAACCTCCGCTCAGACATTTCGTGTTGTTTTGCTGCCTGATTGGCGAGCTCCCTTCGCCGGGTCGGTTGTTTTTGGCCAGATTTCAGCTGCTTTTAGCTGCTTTCAGCCGCTTTAACGAAAACGAAACCCTTGTTGCCGCCACGCATGCTATTTTTTATTTTTCGACTTTTTATTTATTTTCTTGGTCGGGATCATGTCGTGCTTTGGCCACCTTGCAAATGGCTCGCCAATGATTTTTAATGCGATTTCCGAAGCAAAAGAAAGCATCAGACCTGCACTTACACCCAGGACACGAGCCCATTTGAGCGGCTTTGGCAACCTTTTTTAAGTGGCTGGCCAGTGAGCGAATGTGGTATGGGCACGGTCTCGGTTTCGGTGTTGGTTTCCGTTTCCTGTTCCGTTGCCGAGATTATGTTCGTATGGGTGCGTGCAAGTGACTTTATTTAATGCCATTAACGCAAATTGAAAGTTTTACGCTTTCCCAGCGGCCGTTGCATGCGCAATTGAGTTTTTCGGGTGCCTGCGTCGTAATGCCCCATCATGACGTTCATCGCATGGAAATGGCACTCCAAATTCACAATTTTCGGGCACGACCCCAGAAAATCCTTTCGACCATTGAATGTCTTGTGTAATTCACTGCGCCTCTCATTATCCACACACACACACGCTCGTTAGCGCAATCCCATCACGAGCCGTGCCTCATAGGAAAATGGAAAAACTAGCCATGTATTCATGCTTTCTATGGCCACTCCGTGGCTGAAAACCAAGGACAAGATCTGGCTTTATTGCCAACACTTTGTCGCGACTGCGGAGAACCCATTACAACTACTTAGAGCATGTAAATAAAGCAGAAATAAGCCAAGGCGAATGACGAACTGGCAGCCAGCATAGGAACAAGCCTGAAGCAAGGTGTACTAGCCACCCACTCAACCACCCACTCACTCCTTCTTGCACCACCCTGCAGAGCATTAACATAATCGTTATGGTTATGTGCGACGTGTGCATAATGGCAGCGTGGGAGGATGATAAGCCGGGGCATAGAGATAGAGACAGATATGGCGGAGGAGAAAGAGATGGAGGCACGAGGATAAACTATGTTAAGTGCGCTGACATTGTGATATATAGTTGGTTTCGCTACGCCGAAGTGGAGAACAGGTATAACTGCATCCTGCATTCAAGATGCCTTTGATGAAATCATTACCCAATTTAAGCTTAATTGGCAACGAAAGAAAGGACTCTTATGCGGGAACCTTTCAAGTTAATAAACAGATAATATTCGTTAGATATAGAGGCAGCAATACTAGAAACATATCTAATTGCTTTTCTTACAAGGACAAGTAAGAACAAATAAGGACTCCAGCTTTGGTTCCTTTCCGTTTTGGCTAGTTACCTGCTTTTAAAGTTGCCAGCGAGCGTTTTGGGGCGTGGTTGCCAGGTGTGCATATCAAGTAGCCGTCCCGTCGGCCGTGGGACAAATCCATGTGGCATACTTTTCGGGCACAGGCCATTAGCAAACAAGGAAAGTGCGAAACACAAGAAGGCCGAAAAGAAGCACAGACACACGTATGAATATAATAAATTTCCCACACACACAGACACGGAAAACTGAGAGCGGATAAAGAGACGAGCTGGAAAAGCGGCGAAAAGTTACAGACGGGAAAAGGCACATGCTCTATAAGATGTTTCGAATGCCACACGCATAACTTTTAAAATAAAAATTCCAGTTGCAAGCCCTAAATTTAAAACTCTTTTCTGTGGCTCAGTCTTCTTTGCGTTTTTCGTACAATGAGATAGGTAAAATGAACATTTTCAGAATTTTGTCTGATTTAAAAAAGTATTAATTCAACTGCTTGTTGATTTTGCCCAATCGATTAAGATGAGCATACAAGAAATAAAATGATTAAAAAGTGGCTTTGCCCGCTGTGTCACTGCTTTCATACCTAATAGATTGACTTGGCATACTTAAGAACTTCTGAGTTTTCTCAGAAACTCACGTCGCTTCTTACACCATCACAACTGAGCCGAATTGAGAATTTTTAAAAATTTGGCCCAATAGGCTTCTATTGGTTATGAGGCTCTCACGCTTCGACAATGCGCGTCTCATTTCAATGAGT